CACTCAATGTTGGTTTTTCTTTCTCTATTTGGGTACTGAGTAGGTCTTGTTTTCAATATTTCCAAATGATCTGCAACTGTTCGACTCCATGTCCTCCTTCCAATCACTGCATTTTCCACCGTCCTTGAAATTTCATAAAAAAATTTATTACGAATAAATTCTGCAATGGAATTTCCTTTGAACTTCAATTCAATATTTTCAACGCTCTGCTCAAAAAACCTTGGAAACTTAGGTTAGGGAATCACTCCTAGATGGTTTAGTTTCAATTTTTTTGAGGTTGCTCTCCGGGAAGCTTTCATTGGCCAGAACAAAGCAACATCAAGTGGTTCAAGCAGATGTATTGAGTTGGGAGGAAGTAGGACACATTTGAGACATTGTACTCACATTTTACTCATATTATGACTATTTCAATTAAAACTTCTGGTCTGTTTCATTTTCCAAAATGAAAAATAATGATTGTTCTGGAGCAATCTTCGAATAAATCAGAGTGAAAAGATCTGCTCATGCTTCTGATGTATCTAGCTCTTTCAATTTGTAACCCTATCCAACCGTCATAAGATTGTTCGGCCTCATAAACAACAAGGAGTGTAATTGTATCATCAATGATGACAAACGTGATAGTTGTACTGAATACAGCAATGTACCAAATTTTATTTCAAAGATAACTTATAATAACTCACGGAAGGATAAAAACTGTTAAATTACTTTAGAATTTATCGTAATTGCTTGAATAGACTAATGAAAAAGGAAAAGAGCAGTATTATAAAAATGAACTAAAAAAGATTGAGAGATATATGAAGAAGATATGGAAAGTAGGAAAGTGAAAAATGAGAAAAATGTATATGGAATATATGATAATCGCGATGCTAGCACAAAAGATCAAAAAGATATAGCTAATATCTTCAGGCATTTTTTTCATCGATTCTCAAAATTTGTAATGGTATATCACTGTACAAGAATGGAGATACAAAATATATTGAAAAGTTATTGGAGTATTTTCATATATTTATGAAGAAAGCTTTTGATACTTCATTTCACTCCAGGCTCCTCGAAAAAGCAATACGAAATGAGAGATGTTTGCTTTGAAATTTTCTGGAGTTACTCAGAAACAGAAAACAGTTCGAAAAAATATCAACCAAACTTCAATGAGATGGAGATTCCTAGTTCGGAATGTTGGGCAAAACATTTAAAAAAATGCAATTGCTGTCTTGAGTTGAATAGAAACCCAGAAATGAAATATTCAGGTATTCATATAGATTGCTGCCTGAAGTGGAAAAAACATTCAATGGAATTAACGAAATTGGGAAAAATATATTCGAAGTGAAAATGAAATCATAACCTGTGGTGGCGCATCTGAAAATTAATTGAAATCTGTCAAGCCTATTCATATGTATGCAATAAAACTAATTTTTAAAAAACCATCTATATTTTCATCAAAAGTTTCATTCAGGAAATATTTCATTTCAACTCATAGACAAACATTCTACAAAATCAGTACCATTAGCATAATTTATTTTTTGCAAGTACTGACATAATTGAACATTAGTATAATACAAGACTAAAGACCTAGATTTTAAAATTGCTGATTTTACTCTACATTTAATGAAACAATATTCCATATTTATTGGTTGTTAAGTCAACAATAAAATTCCACGAGAGATTAAAAAGTTGAGAGCTGCAGCATAAAAAAAACATTACGGATTCATTCATGATGTGTTGTTTGGAAAATTTCAATTGCCCTTTTTAGGAATAGGCTAAACGCGAGCAATTTTCCAACACGAAGAAAAAATCCTATCCTTGTGAGATAGGTTGAAAAGTCTGCAAAATACTGGTGAGAGTTCATTGGCGTACTTTCAAAGTACGATGACGGGCACTTCATCAGGACCAGACACCTTGTTGATATTAACCGTTTTCGAAATCTGCTTGACTAGACTTTGTAGCAAAGTAATTTCTTCGTTGAACCAATGAGGAGAAATTCAATTCCATTTGATGAATCGAATCAGATTTGTGTCAAACAGTGACAAGATATCGTGAAGTATCACCAAGTGGAAGTGAATCATCTTTCAAAGTTATCCAAAAAGGCATGATGGGAAGTGTGAAGGCTAATATTTTCATATACGAAACTTCTATCAATTCACTTGAAAATTCAAACTTCATCTTGTGAAAAATGTTTCATATTACTCTTGTATATGCCAGATCAAGAATTTGTCGATCTATTACTCTCGGGTGGAACTATTTTTCAGATTGTTCAATTTTTTTTGTATCGATATTGATCGAGATGATTTTTCAAAATTATTATTTCACAAACTGAATGAGCGTAATCAACCTAAATTTCCGTGGCGCCATTACCAAAATATTGAAAAAATTATTCAGTAGACTGATTTTCGAAAAAACACTGGTATTTCCACAGGAACTAGGTGGACATTTTTCAGGACTAGACAGATTCACTGTGATCATTTCTAGTATCCCAAAATGTGGAATCGATTTTGATTAATCCATTTTGAAACAGTACAATTTTTTTCAAATGTGCATACTGTAACTTTTCATTTTGATGAAATGCTTCAATATTCATCTACACTTTTCACTGGGGATATACTGTGCGAAAATTTCAGTTATGCCCAGCTCCATGATTCATTTCCAATTTCCATTTATCCAATTTTCCATTACATCCAGTGGTAGTTTTCATTGGTTCAAGAATAATAATTGTGAAAACAACCTGCTCGAAAAACTACTTATTTCATGACTGGCTTCTTATGATGTATCTGACAATTTTCAAAAATTGCTGACAATATCAGCAATTTTCAAAATTTCTCAAGAGAGTAGATCAGAATTATCATCATAGTGCAAATGGTTTATACTTCAGTGGAAAGGTACGAAAACCGTCTTCTTGCATACAAACAGATTCTTTGGAAGAGGTGAACAACCATATGGAAGTACATTTTATGATCTGAAAACGAGATTTGAAAGAATAAGCAATGTCAATTACGAGAAGTTTGGAAGAGTATGTCCAGTGACGAACGGAAAAAATACATTTTAAATTTTTAGGAGAGAAAGTTTTTGGCTTTCTACTAATCCATCTTAATACAGAACAATATGGAAATCTCCCAAAGAAAAGAAGGAAGCAATCAATTTTAAAAAAAGTAACTCTAAACATAGATGTGTAGATAATGACATTCATTCACTTATTCGATTGAATCCCAGCCAGAAGGGATCTTATTCATATTGGATGGGTTATATTTTCAGGAGTAACTAATTATTTGGGTAAAAAAGTTTTTGGCTTCCTACTACTCCATCTTGATACAAAAAAAATGGAAATATTTCGAAGAAAGGAAGAAAGCAATCAATTTTGAGAGGGGTAACTCTATACATAGATGTGTAGATCATGCAAAGAAGTAATGTTCAGACACGAAGTGAAAGAAAAAGCCCTCCTGAATTAGCTACTTCCATATGAACATTGAATTACCTGAAAGAAAACTTCTTTTGAAACAAATACTCTCATATGAACACTAAATTATACAAAAACACTTTTTCCTACTCAGTTTTGAATTTTAAACATTCATTATGGAATTAAATCAGATATAATTCACTGGATTTCTACACAATATACTGAATGAAAGGTAAAAATTTCACTTACATGGTAGATGTCGATGGAAGTATTTGTTTCGAAAGGATTTTTCTTTCGTGTAATCCAATGTTTATATGAAAGAAGCTATTTCAGGAGAACTTTAACTTCCAGTTTGTGTCTAAGAGATACTTCTTTGCGTGATCTACACATCTATGTATGCAGGTACTCCTTGAAAAATTTATTCCTTCCTTCCTTTCTTTGAATGATTCCCACATTTTTTGTGGAGTAGTAGAAGGCCACAAGCTTTCTTTTTAAAAAATTAGTCACTCTTAACAGTATAAACCTTTCAGTATAAACTAGATTCCTGCTGGCTGGGATTTAATCAAATGAGTCGATGAATGTCATTACGATGTCATCGATGACATAAGTAGATCAAATTGATTTCGTGACATAAACATCGTAATTAATGAATGAATCGTGTGTTTTCATTTTTTATATTATCCAGATTGGTAAAAATCCTGTGAATGATATCTGATTTAGTTCCATAACGGATGTTTGGAATACAAACTCCGAAAAATATAATCCTTGAAATAAACATTTTGAATTGATTTTAAATGGTTGAAGATCCACAGCAAGTGCATGTGACCTAAGCAGAGAATTAGAATGTTCAATAATTTTCTTTGTGTTAGTTAGGAATCTGGTTCGTGGATGCTGCCTGGGCTATTGAGTGGCACAAAACAAGTTTTTTTGAATGCATTAGGGTGGAGAAGGTTATTCACTATTGATAATTTCACAAGAAAGAGTTATCATCTAAGTTAGCGGAATTTTCCAGTATTAACTTAAAAAAAGATCAATGTTAACGATAAGCTTGTGTAATCTATTTTGTTTATTTTGATATTGTACAGTTCAGGTTAGTTAGACACGAAATCGAATCTGCCATTTGAATTATTCATTAATTATTATCGCTGACTTAAACAAAAACAAGCTCATTATTTGAACACGTTTTATCTCTTAATCTTTTGACCTTGAAAATGCAATACATAGGAATTTCGAATTTCAATTTAAGAAATACCTATGCCGTATAAAATAATCAAAGCAAAAATTCTGACTCTGATGGTTCAGAGTACAAACTGAGGATGTAAAAATGCTAAAAATTACCCTAGGAGAAAAAAAGAGATCATATAAAAGCTGCCTTTTTTGTAAACCTAACACAATTTGTAATAAGGTAAGGTATGTACTACTGAGTTTTCGCATTGTTAAAAAAATATTCACATCAGAAATTTGGAGAATTATAAAGAACCCAGGAAAAAGCTTTGGCTTGTTTTCAACACAGATGAAAATCCACTTTTATCATTCACATGTTTGTACAAGGAACACAATAATCATTCCGAAAAAATAGAATTTATTTCACAAAAAATTTCAGATTTCTGTTCTGAATGTAGTACACGACAACCGAATAATTCTTCAGTTTTTCAACATAAATAATGACAATATCTCACTACAACACTAACAATGCTCAAAAACCATATCAGTGTCAGTTTATTAGATTTAATAATTATTAGAATACATATCTTCACATCTAGTGAGCCACTGTAAGTGAATTCTAGCTCCTTTTTATCAGAATACGAGAGTGAAAATAAACCAAATTTTTTTATGACACTGGATATTGTATATTCCTCTTTATAAATACGAAACAATATATACAATAAGAATAAAAAAGTAGTCTTCATTCATTGCATTTCAATGCAATGCTGATGAATAAAATGGAAAAATTCTTCTTCGACTTCATAGTGAACTTGGTTCATCCTGATGTTTCCTTCGACATAGCCTCAGGAAAATAGTTTCGCAAATCCACGCTAAGCAAGTAATGAAATTGGCAGATGCATAAAAATATACAATGATTGAATCACTTCCAGTTAGTTCTTTCACGTAACCTGGAAAAAAGCATATGAAAATTCATAGTCTGTATATGACTTATTCAACATGGTAACTATATTCAGCAGAAGAAGAATTAGAAGGTTTTCAGAACTTGAAGGTGGTTGATGGTCAGATGAGATCGCAAATTTATCAATTTGGTGTCAGAAACAGTCAGAAGGGCCAATTGAAAAAATTATAAAACCCTAAACCTGATGAATGTTGATGATAATATTTACATGTATGGAAATTGACTTTCACTTTATATTCTTACCTATTTTCTAGTAAAATCTCAATTAAGAAAGTAACAATTATATTCCAAATAATGATATTTTAACAAAATTACTTTCGAAATTCCATTTTGAACCCTCTTCTGTCAGTTACCAATCCATAAATGTTGATTATTTCTTAAATGGGACAAGAAAAAAATCATTTTGATGAAAATCTGCTCTATGATTACTTGATGTTCCTTCTGCAAATATAAATTTTAACTTAAGCTAGAAACTGTGGAATTTTGAACAGCTTCAATTTTATCAGTGAGCATGAACATCTCGCATTACAAACCTCAAAGTATCCCTGTTCAAAATAAAAATGATCGGTTCCCATTAGAGTCTGTCGCAAACCCGAATGTGAAATCGGTTCATGACAGTCTCTACAGCTGTCACTGAGAGGCAACCAGCAATAATTTTGAAGGAACACAAGATGAAATAAATATTCAGGCCAACGAAAATTATCAGAGAAAATCTAAGGTTAGCTGAAGACCCCAGAGAGCCTTCAACATTACCGGGGGTATACAAATGGAGAAAAAGTGTAGGTATTCCACTCTCTATGGTTACGACAGAACTTCAAAAACACAAAGACAATTACCACATGAATTAAATCTGCTGTAATGACTACGGTAGATTTTTTTTGTCAACAGTGTAATAACATACAAAAATTAAAAAAGTCTGAATTGTGGAATTAGATTTCTTAACAGAGAAATCCTCATGAAATTCCACTTAACTATCACCAGTAAAATAATACTTAACTGAAATCTGATCATTTGGTACACTTACTTAGATTCTCTCTCATTATATGGTTCGAGAACAATGCCGAATATGCTCTAAATGAATTTAAATCTCAGTTGAAATGGTTCTCACTTCTCGATAAATGAACAAAAAGTCTCTAATTTGTTTTTGTTTTCTTAACTTCATCTTACTCTACGAGAATGGTATTTTTCTCAGCCCAAGAGAAAATGAAAGTCTAAGATTTCAAATATAATAGGTAAAACAACGACTTCAAGGACTGAATAAAAAAAAACTATGTGTAAAATCTGTTGAATTCTAAAAAAAAGAAAATGCCGCCAATTTGACCGTGCTATTTACTATAAATTCAACCTGTTAAACAACTACAAATGCACCAACTCATTACAAAATACTGTCAGTTTCACTTTAACTTCAGGGAGAGTGGTGTATAACCTTAAATTTGCACCTTTTTTTTTGTAATCGTAATATGAACTCTAGTTATACAACCCACATTAGGAACACAACAATGTATAAACTCTTTGCAAATAGAAAGTGAACTCGGACAAAACAATATGTGAACTATCTCCCGATATCAACTGATCAGTGTATAAGAAAACAAACACTTACATAACGCCTTTTTGGTGGTTAATGGTCAACCATAGGTTTCGTTGACCCGATGTGTCTTCAACACCAACACTTTTATTTTTTACTCCCCTATACCCAATACTGACTAACAATTTCGCTACTGATTTTCCTTAAATTTCGCACCCCACGCTCAGAAACAAAATAACTTTCTTATTCAGAGCACTATACTCAGCCTCGAAGACTGAGGGATGACACCCTAGAACACGTCTTCACAGGCTCTTGTGTCCGACCCCCTTCGTGCTCTCGAACCTTCTGTCTTCCCTGCCTCCCAGAAAGCCAGGAAGCCAGGAAGAAATCACGCATTCTGTTAAATTATCGCCTTTGATAATATATGCCGCAGTAGTAGACATAATGTCGTGCATAAATGTCTCACACCTCAGCGGTTGTCATGGCGAAAATCCACGAATTACGGTTTGTACTGCTTGACCATCCGCATTACTCCCCAGATCTAGCCCCAACTGACTTCTTTTCATTCTCTCATCTGAAAATTGCGCTTGGAGGACAGATATATTCGTCAAATTAAGAGACAGTCACCTTCTTGAATCATTATTTTGCAGAGAAAAACGCCCAGTACTATTTGGACAGGTTTCAGAGATGTAAGCAACGCTGGGAGTATCGTGTGTAGAGTTGAAAGGAGACTATGTTGAAAAATAGAAAAAAACTGAGAAAATGTCTTGTATCTTTGTAAGGTCGGAAACTTTTCGGACCACCCTCGTATTTTGTGTTGCATAAGAGAACTTAAAACAGGTTTCTAATATTATTAGCATCTGGTTCTTCACTTACCAGTCATTGAACCCAATGTCAACCCAACACATCCACCCAGAACCATGTACAAAGAAAAAGCTGTGGCAAAATTATCTTTGTACATTTCGGAAATCACTAAGGGAAGAGATGTCTCCATGATACCCCTTGTTAATCCTACTAGTCCCAGTACTATCATTTTCCATACATAATCTTCACAAAGAGTAAAAACTGAAAAAAATAACGGTTTGTATTTTTGTATAGTAATATCAACAGGTTTTGTAGCCAGATATACGCTATTTTTTTTTCCATGACAGTAAATTAAGGGTTCTCTCAAATTGAAATTACGTCCGAGTATATTTCTGAATTGTCCGATTTGTTTATACATTGTTATAATAATGAATTTTTTTTATGATACCAACATGGGCCCTCACTATTTGCAGTAATTTTCTAATGAGAAATCATATAAATAGGAATCTCTTGATCCAGAAACACATTGCATGTATACATTTGAATGCAAGAGGAACACATAAGTCATATTCAAGTGATTGACAAAATCAATAATTTCATGAAAAAATTAATGTTTTTTCGAAATTAATTTTTGAAAATCTCGATTTGATAAGACATTTCACTTTCTTTGATGATCGATGGTGGTATATTGCTCTCAAATTGTTGAGATCTGTTTTCTTGTTGAATTTGAGCCAAATTCATAAATTTTTCTTCAATACGAGAAGGATGAGAGAAAATCACAAAGTAGTCAGAATTTTCAAATATGACACTGTCAAAATTTGACATATTTAAAAATTGTTATGCTTCCATATTTATATCTATATAAAATAAGTATCATGTAATCTATTTTAGTTATCCTGACGAAGATGATACATTTACCGAAAGCTCACAACTGATGTCAACTCATATTTCCGATTTGTTTGAAAAATTGAGACGATTCGGTTACAGACATGGTTTGAGAATAATTTTCAGAACTATCAACATATACGGTTGGAAAAAATTAAGGAATATATTCACCATAAACCTTGTTCCTGCGGAAAAAAGTTATATTGAAGAGAAGAGAATTGAAACTTTCTATGTTTTTTACCACTTTCATTTGTAACTAACGTTACTGCAGTCTCGTCCTATAAGGACATTTTCAAACTTATATTATATATAGTTAAATGTATGAGTTTGAAAATGTCCTTATAGGACATATATCATATATAATATATTATATATAGTTTAATGTATGAGTTTGAATATGTCCTCATAGGACGAAACTGCAGTAACGTCAGTTACAAATAAAAGTGGTAAAGAACATAGAAAGTTTCAATTATCTTTTCTTCATTATGATTTCTCACCACGTAGTAACGGCTACATCCATCAATTTATTGAAAGTTATATTATTGAAACCTTAAGACCCCCAGATGTAAGAAAAAAAAAATCGACATCCTAAGTATATAGAGACAAGACAGATAACGGGATCCGGGAAAGCGGAGCATATTCTGAAATCATCTGGTCAACACGCAATGAAATGGGCCGAAACAAAAATGGTTACCAAGGAATCAGAAAACTCAAAAAATCTGATAATATTCTTTCTGAAAATCATTGTTCCAAAAGTTATTCAGGGTGGCTCGTTTTCAACTCAACTCGGGAACAAGGTCCCGAATCATAAGCTTCAGACCGTCTGTTTTATACTTTGTTGAAATCTTCTCATCATGGGGCATCTGATAATGCGAAACAACATAAAGTGTTCTTTTTGAAAAAAATGATGACATGCTCTGGGAATGCGATAGAGGAAGTAACATCAAATGTGATTATGTCAAAATGTGTCCCCCTGTATACTATAATTGACATGTTTTTCTATTTTTCCTGCAAATTATTGAACCAAAAGTTATTCAGGGTGGCTCGTTTCAAATGGAATGCCCTGTATAAACCTCTAAAGAAGCAGCCACTCGCTCCAGCAAAACCTCAGGAAGAAATTCCAAAAATCGACGACTTTCAAACACTCAGCCGCGAAAGCCTTAACAATTTCGTCAAATCAAGATTATTTTTGTGATCTTCTGTTCCTTCAGTGTAATTCATTCAACCAATATTCATTGACACTGGTTGGACTTTATAGGACAAGAATGGAAAATGAATTTTCACTGCTTTGAGTCTATATTCAATTTTTATATTCAAACACCTATACCTACCTAGATATACACAACAGCAACATACAAATCTGGAACTGCAAAATTGTAATATTGTATTTGATTTTTGTTCTGTCAATAAAATCGTTTTTTATCATCATTTGACGAGCCCTTTATCCATAACTGTGAGTAAATAGAAAAAAGTTCTTACCAATCCGACATACTGCAATGATGAAGGTGGTCCACAGGAATGTTAGTCTGTTATTGATAGTATAAAAATAACTATAGATTGAATAAAGCATTCGGGAGATCAGGTCGAAAATGAAATAAACCATGATCATCTTAGCTATTTCAGATGAATTGTAATTTAACTTATTCAATAGCAACCTGATAATGACCGTGAAGTTGTAATCAGAATTGAAAGATAATGCCAAACCGAAAGCCATAATTAGATATCTGACTTCTCCATATAACCTCAGGCCGAGAGTATCTCTGAAAAAATAAAATGAATATCAAATTTAGAGTATGAAATCTTTTGAAGAAAGTAAGTATTTGAAATTGCTGATACTTTTCTAAAAGCAATTTTTATATGATAATGATATGATACTCAATCGAAATAACAGAAGTAACAATGGAAAAGTAAACCAGTAATAAATACATGACTTTATTTTAAATGTTCAAACTGTAGTCCTTGCTGTATTTGACAGTAACCTAAACCTTGAATAAATTCTTGTCGAACCTTGTTTATGGTTTCTTGAGAAATATCGTTTATTTCTGTTCGAATTCTCTCTTTTAATTCTTCAATATTTGCTGGTTTCGTTTTATGAACAACAATCTTCAGATGGCCTCACATAAAGTAATCCAACGGATTTAAGTCTGGCGACCTCGCTGGCCATTCAATATGTCCACGTCTACCAATCCATCGGTTCGTAAAAATTTGGTCGAGATTCCTTCGAACATCTGCAGCATAATGTGGAGGCGCACCATCCTATCGAAACCATAAACTTTCATCAAAACTTCCAGGATTAATTCTACTGGGGAATGAATTAATCAAAGTAGGTACAAGATATGCCCGATGATCCTGTTTCTTACAATGCCGGCCTATACATTTACCTTTTGAAAGTATTGTGTATGATGCTCACGCATTCAGGGGGGGTTTTCTTCGAACCAGTACTTACAATTCTGACGGTTGACCCCACCATTTAATGTAAAAGTGGCTTCCTCAGAAAAAAATATATTTTTTACGAGGAGACGGTCTCGGTGACAATTATCCATCATGACTTCACAAAATTCTATTCTTCTATCTGGATCATTCTCGTTTAATTCCTGTAGAAGTTCGATTTCAAAGGGATGACATTTTTCCAAATTCAATAGGTACTTTGTGTACAGTTGTTTTACTGACATCGAAATCACAACTAACCTTACGAACAGAAGTGTGCACATCTTCTTCAAAAGCAAGTAGAACATCTAGTTTTGTATCATCATTTACAGAAGGACGACGTGATTTGCGTGCATTTTCAACTGTACCAGTTTCTCGAATTTTTTTTTCAATCTAACTTACTGCTGACTGCGTTATGCGTCTTTCTGAATATTTTTCATCAAATAAGTTACACACTTCCATCTGAGTGCGCGATCTGTCTTCATAGCCAATCATCATAAGTATTTCAATTCTTAACTTTATATTTAAATTCATTACTACTTCAAATTAATTTGAAGCAATACTACAGAAAATTCAGGAATCAATACAACAACTACTGTCCTAGTTAACAGTTAGCAAACCTCAATCCAAATAATGACATTTCACAATAACAAAAAAATTAGCAGCCTAGTTTTTTTAAATTGATAAGAAATACTTGTTAGCACAGTTACTGTCAACTACAGCAAGGACTACAGTTCGAACATTTGAAATAATGTCATGTATTTATTATTGGATTACTTTCCCATTTTTGAAATAATCACTAGAAAAAAATATCAAATAATTAATTAATTTCTACTTTCATTAGATATCAATAAAATTTATTTTCTGAGCGCACATCTTTAAAATTCTGTCCGTTAGACCTCAAGTATCAAAACTTTTCGGAATCAGCTCGTTACGGATTATCTAAAACTGACACCAAACACAGGGTGTTGTATTCAAAAAAGTTACAGATGACTTCATCACATTAATATGGATCATCCTGTATGACGAAGTTTCAGTTTTTTGTAAAACGACCTTTGGTTTTGGAAATATCGAATTTATTCCATACTTTGCGTACTATTCCATACTCTGCGTTTGAAAACTGTTACACAAAACGTGAAAAAGTGGGATATGTGGAAGTCCTGAACTCCTACCGCTCTTTTTTCTTTCAAGTTCATTAGTAATCAAAATTACTATGATGATTGGGTCGATGGAAGGTACAAATGCTAAAAAACAGTACTTACAGTAGCCAAGTTTTCATAGTGGATAAGGAAATCTTGTTCTCCTCTCGTTGCTTTACAATTTCTTGTTTGTTTTCTACTTTGCCTTCGATCTGTAGTAACGGCTCAGATTGTGATTTTGCGTTATATTCTGGTACTGATGTAGTCTGCGTTACTGAAATTCACAAGTGTTTTTGATTATTTTGAATGTTGAAAGTTCAGAAGCTTTTCATCTGGATACAATGTCATCCCCAAAGTACGCACCATATGGAAAACTTTTTATTAAGGGTTTTTCGACAAAAAGTTATTCTCGATAAAAGTTCGTGCATTCCCTGAAACTAAACATGTACCAACAAAATACAGTACAACACACGTTATATACGAGGAGCCTTCAAATATTTGATTTTGTGACAAAGATTCAGATTTTTTTTTGACGATAGTGGATTCTCGCACCAACAAGGCAGTTTTTCGGTCTTTATCTGGCCAAGAAAAACTGAATGCACCCACGATTTAGTGCACACCGCTGACCTAGTCGGGTTTGTTAGTGGTGTTTTTATTTGGCAACCCTATTGTAATCTTTCTATGTCTTTAAAAGAAAACCTACGTAGCAATTTCTCATGCAAAAATACCGTCAGAAAGAATGAGATAAATAGATTATATCTATTAGCTTGAAAACACCAAACCATTGAATATTAACAATATTAACTCCAAGAAATATGTCTACTGAATACTTGATGAAAGTGGCGACTCTTACATCAGTGGAGGTCATCAACTATCGTGGCGAAAGATTAAAAACAACCTAGTGAAGAGAAATCAGCAAATTAGAAGTAGTTCAGTATATTCGGATCGAACACAACTAACAAAAAAATCAGTCACACCAATGCGGAGTTTGAATCATTCGGTCATACGCAAAAAGATCAATTAACTTTTATAGAAGCTTCAGAATGCTGATCCGCATTCGCTGTGAAGTGAATTTTTATTTTTCTCAAGATATATTTTTTAATATTCATCACTTCCTCTGTTATCCGCTTCAGATTGATTCTCCTCCTCTTGGCAAAAAAGTCACAGTGTGGAAAATCTGGTAAATACGATGGCAGATACATGATTACGGTCTTGCTTTGGTCATAAAATCACGAACATGTAATGTTGCATTATCGTGATGAGAAAGTCATGAATTGATTCTCCACAATTCAGGACGTTTTCTTCGTATTGCTTCTCGCAAGCGACGCATAACTTCAAGATAATACTCCTTATTTACCGTACGACCATATGGTAAGAACTACTGATGTACCAAGACACGGTAATTTAAAAGAAACAGTGAGCAAAGCCTTGACATTTGATGATATTGGCGTGTTGTCTTTTGGTTTCAGTTCTCCTGGGCTCTCCCATTGAGACGATTGGACTTTGATTTCGGTGTTATAACCATATACCCATGATTTGTTACCAGTTATGACTATTTCTGGAAAACCTGAATCGTTGTTGACGTCCAAAATTTTCGAGCGGTGTTCATGCGATGGTTGTTTTGGTAAATATTCAGCAATTTTGGTATCAACCTCGCTGCCACACGCCTAATGCTCAAAATTCACGCAAAACTTGCATGACATGAGAGAACCGACAAGACGAGACATCCTCAGCGACTTCTCTAACGGTGATTCGACGATTCTCCATAACAATTTTCTTCACATTTCCAACATTTTCATCGGTTGTGTTTGTGGTGGGGCGTCCAGGGTGAGGGTCGTCATTCACATATTCTCGACCTTCTGTGGAAAGCTTGTACCACTTGTAAACATTTTTTTGAGTCCGAGTACAATCGCAGTATGCCATCGTCAACATTTCGAGTTTCTGAGCAGTCAATTCCATTTTTCACACAACAAACTGAACACGATAAACAGCTGAAACTGTGAACATATGTTCGAAACAAGTGTACCAACATAAAATAAAAAGACGCTAATCGAATATACTCAGCCCGCGAAATTTGAACATTCACAATATTTTTCGAACAGTTCACTACATGTGATCAGTATTCCAAAAATGGTCGAATCTGTATTCAACAGTTCATCAGGAGCTCATAACCTTACTATGCTATGCTTGAAGACAGGCAGTGAACAATTATTAAGACATGAACTTCAAATGTTCAACCCAGTCTTGAATATACCTATACAGTAGGTTAAATGGACTGACGCCTATCAGAAAACAACTACTCCCCTGGCTAATATCACGAAGGGCGTTGGATCACATCCGACAGGCGTCAGTGCAGAAATTTTCACAGAAAATGTCCTGCATATGCAATTGGCAATACAACTGAAAGAGTTGACCTTCAATTTTGGAACGGGAAAATTACGGATATGCAGTTGGTTAGTACCTCGTTCACTAGAGGGAGTGACATTTTGTAACGGAAACCAATTCAGTAGTAGTTGATTCCAAACTGATGTTTTGCCTAAACGAATCACTTCGTTGGTTAATTATCTAAAAGGGATTTTGAAATTTTCGGCTGAATGTGGTTTCTTTTTGATATTGGGGGCTTTAGAGCATCTTGTAGTAGTATTGAAAACCATAGCTGCAAACGCAGGATTTATACCAGGCAGTTAATGAGTATCTACATCTCCTATCAACTTCATTATCAAGCGGTTAGTAGAATATTTTCATGCAACTCAACTCTTAATAAATGTTAACTTCTGATTTTTCTTTTCACACTATTCATGTAACTATTGTCGTGATGAAGAATATTTTCTTCAGGGTGTTAAGATATCCCCATAAAAAATGTATCTCCAAGCTAGATTCTGATGAATTCGAAACCATCGTTTGTTTTAACGATTTCTTTTTGTGGATATATCGTAGCAGTGGACTAAGAGCACCGTCGAATATCCGAGGCGTCAGTATCTCCAGAATATTGTGAGAGCAGTCTGCACCCCCTTGCAACGTTATAAGGATCGCCAGAGAAGCAGTTAATTTCAGCTGAGTTCATTGAAGAAAAAAAATAAAGAAACTTGCTTGTGTTTATATTTATATATTAGCGTTTGTTATTATTTCTTTTGTTGTCTTTCTCTAAGGTGAATTCATTGCCTAACTCAACTCTGAATATAAGACAGTTCAATGTAATCTGCTTGAAATTCGAATGAATTGTCTTTATTAGTAATATACTTAAGATTCAGATTTTTTTTTGACGATAGTGGATTCTCGCACCAACAAGGCAGTTTTTCGGTCTTTATCTGGCCAAGAAAAACTGAATGCACCCACGATTTAGTGCACACCGCTGACCTAGTCGGGTTTGTTAGTGGTGTTTTTATTTGGAAACCCTATTGTAATCTTTCTATGTCTTGAAAAGAAAACCTACGTAGCAATTTCTCATGCAAAAATACCGTCAGAAAGAATCAGATGAATAGATTATATCTATTGGCTTCAAAACACCAAACCACTGAATATTAACAGTAACTCCAAGAAATATGTCTACTAAATACTTGGTGAAAGTGGCGACTCTTACATCAGTGGAGGTCATCAACTATCGTGGCGAAAGATTAAAAAGAACCTAGTGAAGAGAAATCAGCAAATTAGAAGTAGTTCAGTATATTCGGATAGAACACAACTAACAAAAAAATCAGTCACACCAATGCGGAGTTTAAATCATACGGTCATTCGCAAAAAGATCAATTAACTTTTATAGAAGCTTCAGAATGCTGATCCGCATACGCTGTCTCTAAAAAAATGAAGTGAATTTTTATTTTTCTCAAGATATATTTTTTTAATATTCATCACTTCCTCTGTTATCCGCTTCAGATTGATTCTCCTCCTCTTGGCAAAAAAAGTCACAGTGTGGAAAATCTGGCAAATACGATGGCAGATGCATGATTACGGTCTTGCTTTGGTCATAAAATCACGAACATGTAATGTTGCATTATCGTGATGCGAAAGTCATGAATTGAAGGAATGAAATACTCTGAAAGAATTCCGATTTTCAAATATGGAGTATCATGTACTACAGGTCGATGATGGTCACTATCTTGAACTGATGAGTGGCTAATGAACCCGAAACCGATCTGCAAGTGTGCCCGTTCCAAAATTGAAGGTCGACTCTTTCAGTTGTATTGCCAATTGCATATGCAGGATATTTTCTGTGAAGATTCCTGCACTGACGCCTGTCGGATATAATATAACGCCCTTCGTGGTATTAGCAAGGAGATTAGTTGTTTTCTGATAGTCGTCAGTTCATTTAACCTACTGTGTAGGTACATTCGAGACTGGCTTGAACGTTTGAAGTTCATTTCTTCAGAATTTCTCAAACGCTTATGAAAAAATACTCTCGAAATCAATGACGAATACTCTATCAATTATAACACACATAGACCTACCTGAAAAAAACTTGAACAGCAACTGACTCAGTTCTAGCTATACCCAAGTCAAGGCATTAAGTTTTCAAAGAAGTAGCTGGTTGAATTCTTTGTATCCCGCCACTGCTAAAGAATCCATCAATTTTTTCAAAGTCATCAACTGATACACAAATTTTAATAGACTCATTCGACTCCGTAGAGAAATCCATACCTATTATGGTGCAACTAACATGTGTCTAGAATGAAGCATAGTGAAAAGTTTCATGCAAAGATTTCCTTGGGATTAATTTTTTCACATAGCTTTTGGAATTTACCTCCGAAAAAGAAATGAAATTCGACATTCAATTCAAACCACGTTTTTTTTTCATTATTTTTCATTTTGATGAAAGCAGGAAGTGATGGTAACTCTGTATTATGTATTCAAAAATCGGATAGTTCAGAATTCTCACCTTGCTTCTCGGATGTTTCAGCTGAATTCTGTTCATTGCACTTCTTGACAGGGATGAACGCAGCCATAGCAGGAAAATTAAGAACAGAGATTCCGGCGAGCAACCATAATACGTTTTTGAATCCCATATGCTCCATGGCATTAGATAATATCAATGTACATACTATTGCTGACATTGTTATGAAAGTCTGAGATATTCCCATTATGAAGCTGTGCTTCTTGTCGAAATAATCGTTCAGAATCGTTAAAGATGATGCAAACATCAGTCCAGAGCCAATTTCTGAAAATTCAGTGATCATAATAAAGGAATTGAATATGGAGTGGTAATTTATGAGTAATACTTCCGAAACAAAACAAACTCTGCTCCCAAACACTAGGAAAACATTGGTAAAAAACTGTCTTACGCAAACATCCGAATAAACGAGTCCACATTGTGTTGGTATGTTGTTTCATTATTCATTAAATTGTTATCATTTTCAAAAATTTGGGTAATAGTATTATTACCCATTTTATTTTCGAGTTTGCAGCCAGCTTCAATTATTTTCTCTGCGCTGATTGAGCAAAAAAATATTAAGATGGGACAGTTTCAAGATCAAATATCAGGTTGTTTCGAAAGTTTTGGCCATTTAAATATCATGTGTTTTGTAGTTTCGTATCTCAATAACTATTCATTCCACTGTGTCGTGGTGTATACCGATTGATAGATAATTTTATACTCTATATGATGCTGTTTTCTCCAAATTTACATTCTATGCCTATCTTGAACTTAGTACTTATACAGTGCATTTTTTCAATGTCCCCCCTTGTATTCATTTTATTGACATTTAACTACATAATATGAGGTAATAAGCTTGAGGTCAGTTCAGAATATGCTCGAAATGGTTGCCTTGAACTTTCCGACATATGAACAGCCTATCCGATATTTCACGCCGAACATTTTCGAACACGGTAACGTCAATATCTCTACAAATATCTATTATTTTCTGTCGTATAATCAGTTTCGTACACCTTCTGCTTCGAATAGCACCATGAAAAAAGTCCAAAGTTGTCAAATCTGGCGAACGAGCTGGCCATTCTGTAGGATCTCGACGGCCAATCCAACGACCGGGAAAAGTAGTATCCAAATAGTTTCTTACTTGTCTGGAGTAATGTGGTGGTGCTCCATTTTGTTGGAATACAATATCCATATCGAATTCATTAGGATTCGCTTCGACGATTTCAGTGATGAGAGGGTCAACAGTAGTTTCCAGCATATTTAAATACAGTTCTCCTGTTGAATTTTGGTCAATGAATAGAGGTCCTACAATATGGTTCCCCAATATTCCTGCCCAAACGATAATTTTTTCTGGATATTGGGTATGTGTTTTCTGGAAAACTTAAGGGTTGGTGTTATTCCAATAAAGACAATTTTGTCTGTTAACATTGCCTTTTGAAAAAAATGTACGTTCGTCACTGAAACAAATATTGTGGGATTGGAAGGATGGCTTGCAATGGTTTCCGTCATGATTTCTCAGATTTCTATTCTTCGATCAGGGTCATCTTCAGTTAATTGGTGTACCATTTTAATTTTGCACGGATGATACCTATTTCTCTTCAAAAGTCTCCACACAGTAGAAGGAGACACCTCACAAAAATTCGCGACGGAATAAGTAGACTGTTCAGGATTCACTACCAACCCATGAATTATTCGCACTTGTTGTTCTTCCGAAATAAACGGATGGCCTGAGGGCTTTTTGTTATATACACTACCGGTAGTTGT